TTCCCTGTGCGTGATTGCTTTTGCCGGTGACAGGGAACGATGAGAAAGGACGAGAGTCATATGTCCATGCGGTTTTAGTGCTGCTTGAGTGGCTCCATCGTATAGCGTCGGTTTCGCTCAGAGTTTGGGTGAAACGGAGTGGAGAGGCTGCCTGCTTGGGAGCGAATGTTTACCAGGTGCTGACAGTGCTTTGTACTTGAACGCTATCTGTGTCAGCTAGACACAGCTGGTGATTTAGAGCTTCGTTTTTTATTTATTTTTACAACGATCTACAAAAGAGATAGCCTTCATACCTCTTGTGACACCGTTGCCAACGTGGCTTCAGTTTTAACGCCATGTATTAACCTCAGCCGTTTGTCTCTTTGTTTTTATGGCGGTTTTTGACCTTAAACCAATTTTTAGTATTATTATTATTGCACGAGAGGCCATGCCGCAAGTGCCTCCTCATACGTCGCAACAAAAAAAAGTGTACAGGTAAAAACATTAAAAAAAAAAAACATTTAGTGCGTGTGCTGCCTTTTTTTTTTTTTTTTCGGAAGCGCCGAACTAAGCTCTGAGCGAGGCTGGGTAGTCCAAAACAGCCGAAGGAGCGAGCAAAGATGAGCGGAGAGGCTACACTCGTCCTAAGCGGCTTGGGGACGGCTCTTTATCAAGGGGTTAATGAAGTCAATTTGGTTATATAGTAATTCAGAACTTTAGAAAAAGCGCAATTGTGGTAAGTCGAAAGCATCTCATCACAGGTTCGCAGCTAATGGGATTGCATTATTAGCTGATAAGGACGTCGAACAACGAATCAAGAAAACAAGGAACGTGAACGCACGAAATCGAGCTCCTGCATGCGTTTCTTACGTTTTCACCGATTATATGGGAATGTCTAGACTGCGTTTTATTTTGAAGTCCGATCAGAGCCAACGCTTCGCGATACGATGTGGCCGATTAGGCGGCTCGAAAAGTGCAACGTTACGACAGTCCTCGCCTTTGCGCATTTGCTAGCACCGACGAATGTACGATTTGCATGGTTCGACTTTGCTCGCGAATTTGTAGCTGCGGCGTTGAGCGACGTCGCAACTACAAAATTACGAGCAAAATCGCGCCACGTGAGTGAGGCTATGTGGCGCGTTCACACGTGCGAATTCGCGGGCGAATCCTCGGCAGGCGGAAAGGGCATTTTGGAGCCCCGGTGGCGAAATCGACGGCTCGTCGCTGGTGGAAACTCTGGACATGGGTACCGGACTGGTACAGATTTTCCGCCAGCGACGGGTCGACTTCGCCACCTGGCTCCGAAAATCCACTTTTCCGCCTGCCGCGGTTCCGCCCACGAATCCACAAGTGTGAACGCGCCATTAAACTGAGCACGCACGGTAATAGCGCCGCAATCCTGCCTTTTTGTTTCTGTGCGATTGGTTTAGTTGCGGGGTGGTGACCTCACAAAGACAAGGAGAGCCATAACCACGTTCTTCTGGCTCTGTTTGATTGCGCGCTATTTATTCGAAACGTCGGCTGAGGTAAGACCAAAAGTGAAACAGAGAATAACGGAGCAACCCGGAGAGCGGATACGAATGTCATGCATCAAAGGCGCGTTCCTGAAACGATCCTTTTTTTATTCGTTTTTGTATATGATCCAGATATTGATTTTCTTTTTTTTCTTGTTTTTTTTGTAAAGGGCACTGAACTTTGCAGAAAACTGTTTTTATTCTGTTTATTATTTTAAAAATTCGTTATCATTGCATTATTACTATTTTTTATTTTATTTATTTTTTTTTTTTTTTTACGAGGGAGTTACACATAAAAGACACAACCCGGACAGCTCATCTTTCGGAAGGTGCACGTGCTGTCTTTGTTCTGTCCTTTACGCGCAACTCTTTTTTTTTTTATTTCTCTGGATAGGACACGCGTGTAGCAAACTGAAATTTCATCGAAGAAACAATTTTGTGCGCAATATTTTATTTAAATTGCGAAACTAACTTGACCGATTCCTAAATATGCTTCTATTTTCGGGGTCAACGTCTGGAAATCGAAGTATCTTCGTAATAGCTACTAGCTCAAAATGGACGTCGCGTTATCACGTGAGCAAAACGTATTCTATTCTATTCTATTTTATTATTATCTACTGTGCTTTATTCTACTCTATTACATCCTATTCCCAAAAATATGGCCCTGCATTGTTTTGATAGAAATATATATATATATATATATATTATATACTGTATACGTGTGCTGCACCGGCATGTAATAAAATGCATTTGGTAGTTCATTGTCCCGGACTCCGAAATGAAAGTCTGGGCGAAATGGCTCCTAAATAAAAAAATGACCCAGGAAACGACACACGCGTTCTATGGATGCACATAAATACTTATAACGGAAGTCTTTAGGTCCGTACTTTTTCACTCCTAAATATTCGCTCTCTGAATTGATGTGGTTTAGTAGAAGAAAAAAAATATATACCGCGTAAAACCCGCGTGCGTGGCCTCTGCCGCAACAATAACTTCCGCTCCCCGAATACGTCACAGCAAGTAGGAAAAAAATATTAGCCTCTGAAATAAAAAGTAATAATAAATAAATAACGGAAACGAAAGTTTTGAGTAGCCGTTAAGGTAACGACGTCACAGCATCCCCATTTCTGCTCGAACAGCTCACCTTGGCCGTTCGCGTTCGGAAATATAAATTCCAAATATGCTGGTCACCGACGGGTGTCACCGTAAATCTAAAGCGTGCCTCCGGGGAAAAAAAAGTGTTTCTTTCATAAAAAAAAAAAAAAAAAAATTATCATTGCTTACAGCGCAGACTTTGCCCAAGCTTTTCCCTTCGAGTCTGACTACAGCCAACGGCACAATTTTATGCAGGTAAAGCAGCGCGAAATGTGCAACGTCACAAGGCTCTTTTATTCCCCGTAGAAATGGTGTGTTATGATTGGCTAAACGAATTTCGACTAAAAAGCGCGGGTTCGTGACGCGTTATGGAATTTTTTGAAAGAACGAGTTGGGAGGTGAATTCTAGTGTGTTTATCCCGTGAATTTGAATATCGCGTTCGTTTTTCCCGAAGATGTAACGAAACCCGACAAAGCACCAAGAAAAAACTCCGACCGGTCGCTGCGTCATAAAAGTATCTCTCGGCCACCAAGCGGGTGTCGCTCGTGTGGGTAGCGCTTGCGATTGCAAGCTTGCCAGGAGATACGTTCTATCGCACCCGCATCCTACCATCTTTTTCTGACCTTTTTTTTTTTTTAATTAAAAATGCCGAAAGTACTTTTCCGTAGCTTTGTTAGGCGCTGAAGATGCGTGCGAGAGCGGATATTTTGAAAACTTATTTTATGGCGTAACGCTCCGGGAAAGGGGTGGGGCTTAGGCACGGTGTGGGCTTAGGCGGTATATTGAACATGAGTTTGTGCGGTCTCTGCGCACGAAATTGAACAAAAAAGTAATAATCTTCATATTCGTGGGAGGCGAAATGAACTCGATTTAAGTGTTTTAATCAAATGCAGAATTGCTTCACCTTCCAGTTAACTGTGCGTGATTAGTTGGTGATAGCAAACGGATAAGGCCGATCAGCGCCGTGACGTTGCACTTTTGGCACTACTTGATTTTGATTGCTTCCAGTGGAACGTAGCGTCGGCTGCGATCAACTTTACTAAAACACTCAGTTGGGAAACTCCCATAGAGACAGCTTTGAAAAAGTGGCCGCAATCTGTCTCCGAGCACCGAGCTATTGACGAACACAACGCCACCATATCTCCCGCAGCGGCCACTCGAGGAACTGCACGTAACTTCTATTCTGGCTTTAAGAACAGATACAGCGGAAGATGTTACAGGGGTGCTACCCCGTCTCCCCGGCGGACGCGCCGCGTCGACCTACCGAATTTAAAATGCACCTAGGTCGGGACGCGCTACCTGAAAGGACCGCTGAGGCATGGTTGTATAAAAACAATATTAATTGTGCCGCAAAACCCTGCAAACTAAAGATTTTAAGAACATAACGCGCCCCTCTTTTTGTACTAAACTCCAATAAATTTCATACAAAAAGAGTCCTCTCCGTTTGTTTTTACGCAAAAATAGGCTTTCAAAAAGCTCAAGGTGACCACAGTACAGACAAGTGACAAAGAGTGGCGCTGTTGTCGCATTTAGCTCGGTCTCGGTGGACGCCAGCGGCCTAGGTTTCGACGGCGAGTTTCCCAACTGAGTGTTTTAGTAACGTTGGCTGCGATTAGACTCACAGTAAGATGCAGTCTACACGTACACGGACCAAAAGTCAAACTTATTTAAATTACCATTGCATGATTCCGAAAAGTTATCAGTCTGTCGTAAAGCAGAGTCCATAAACACATGGAGATTAATACCCGAGGCAGCATGCCATAGAAACTCTTAACTTGGCAAGAACTTAGCACTCTTGACGCACAGAACTTCGGCCTCTATATAACGGGTTTTTTCCGAGGCGTTAGTTAGTGCCAGATTACTTCTTTCTTTGTGTGTGTGTTTTTATGGCTTTTCTGGGCTCGACCACATGACTGTCGAAGTGCCAGACTTGGGCCAAAGACGTGTGAATCGAAGAATAAGAGGTGAAGCCTACATACGGCAATTGTTTTGGCAGTTTATGCCCAAGGTTGTCACCTTAGAAACCCGAACAGTCACAAAGAAACCTGCAACTGGCATTCGTTTGGCAATTTAGTCCCAAAGATACAAGATGATTGCTAAAATAACAGCAGTGAAGCGTAACTCCGGCTCTTGTTGTGCGAACTTGGGCCAAGATACCCAGGCTCTGGTCAAAGAAAGTCAAGTGTGGCTTCACCTTGACTCTTTGTTGGGCGAATTCGGGCCACAATACCCAGGCTCTGGACAAAAAAGGTCAAGTTCGGTTCCAGCTTCAGTTCCCTGAGAAAAATAACACATTTGGCGCAAAGTACTCCGCCACCTGTCTGTCGTCTGCTATTGTAACGTGCCCCATTCCCTACTTCTGCTGCAGCTGGCTGCTGGCAACGGTCATGTGCTTCGCCGCTACGTCCAACATGGCGGCCTCTCTGGAATTCAGTGTGGCCGAAATAGACGCAGCCACTGAACGCGCCAGGGAGTCCCTTCTCGTGAAGAGGAACGCCGATATCCAGATGTCACGCTCAAAGCGGGACGCAGGAGGTGCGTGATTTCTATTATCGTTTGTTTTTTACACACAATGTGTTTTATCAGCCGTATTTTATGCGAAAACCGTCCCAAAAAGCCGTTATAAAAACCTTCACGAAGGCCTCAGACACCGTGACATCATGATGGGATGTGGTGACATCATCATGTCGCGGGGCACCGGGACGTCACGAAGTCAAGTGGCACTCTCTGATGGCTGGTGACGTCGTGATAACATTTGTCACTACGACGCCGTGTCACGTCATAGTCACGTGACCTCATGACGTCGTGTGACGTCGTCAACACACACATCGTGTGCCCAGCTCATTCACAACCCCATTCTCTGATCCCCGGTCATGGTCAGCCTGATCGCGCTAGTGTAATTTTAGGGGCGAAGCTCCTTAGGGTCTAGACTTGTCCGTCTGGCGTCCGTGCTCTCATCGATCTTGCTGGTGCTCGTGCTTGCGATCGTGCTCGTGAGCTCACGTGCTCACGTGCTCGTGTAGAGCAAAAAAAAAAAGAAGAAAACAAAAAGAAATGTATGCGCAGTCGACAGGATTCGAACCTGTGCGTGTGCGTGTGTGTGGGGGGGGGGGTGGGGGGGCCTTATTTACTGTTTTTCTGTAAAAACTCTGCAATTTTGAAACCGGGTTTGCTTTGTTATTCTTCTTATTTATGTGTAGGAGTTTAAAGGTTATTATATGTATGTGAGTTTCAATTTTATTTGTATGTGTGTAATTTTTGACGTTATCTTTATATGTTTGGGTTGTGTGTATGTTGATACAGCCTAGAACTTGGTCTGCCTCACAGGGGCGACGAGTCTCCCAGCTGTAGATGAGCAATTTAGCCGGGGCAGTACAACCGCTAGCCTGGGGTCTTTAACGTGCACCACGCAGTAGTGATACACTACCACACGCCGGTACGATGCTCATCCAGATCGAAACGGGCAGGGGTGGGGATTTTATATGTGAGTTAGAACGTTATTTATAAGTGTGCGAGCTTTGAGTCTTGTTGTTCTTCAAGCTTTTGATCTTGAAAACTGAGACTCCCTCTACTGTAAAGGACTTTGGTCGCTGTAGCTAATAAGAAAAAATAAATGAATGAAAAATAAATTAAAAAAGAGGGTCATTTTCTTGCCAAGCGATATAGCTTCTTAACGATAAAGCCTGCGCATGACGCCCTCATTATTTGTATCCCCGAGCCACTGACGAAGCGCGGTGATAAACTACGTGTTCCTCACTGTCACTAGTGCTGCAAAAGCTGAACAGATATTTGAGACACCAGATGGCACTGAATTTCAACATGGGTGTATAACAAGTGCTTGTTCACACGACCGGGAACACGACTTCGACCGAATGTTTTGCTAGCAATCGAGAAGAATTTAGTGTCCCAGATAGCCACATTCCACTACGATGGGTAGCGTTGTCCAAGAGCTCAGTGTAGTCTGCTACTTGCCCCACTTCACACATGTCGACATCTGTCGTTTCACGCGCTGTTGATTGCTTTCTGAACCATACATTCTAGTTTTTTGTAACGGAACGCAGGTGTTCTGCTGGATAAAAGCAATTAATACGAACTATACAAACTACATACGTGTTTTTTAATTTTTTTTTGTAGCGACGAAAATGGTTTTTTAATAGATCAGTGGCCATGATGACGTTTCAATGGTACCCACTTAATTCAAACTTAGTTTCCGGCGGCACCAAAAGAAATGCAGTTGCTGCCTTGGATGGAAACTCGTTGTTTCGTTCGGCGCAGATCTTTATACGTTATAAAACACATTTGGAATTACTCTTATCACTACTAAGCTATGAATTCTCTAAGCTACAGCTCGAATTGCCATTACACATTTTGGTGCAAGGGAACTTTACACCAAAACGAAATTACTTTGTCACGTTACTGGAGCCACTTTAAAAGTTTTTTGTTTTGGTCTTTTTTTTTTTTTTTTTTCCCGCGCAGTGGTAGAACAGGCGCAAATGAGATTGAACAAAAAAGAAAGCACAGTAATTTTTTTGTACTTTGCAAACTCTTACAACGTATGTTACGTTTTTAGGTCGGTAAATCCAGGCGAAATGGTTTTGTTTCGAATCTTATAGAGGCTTTAAACACGCGTTAGATTGAGCCGCCATAGCCGACCTTCTCTCGTTTTACCGAAATGCCGAGCCACTGAGGCGGCCGTTTGTGAGCCTCCACAGAGGCCAATGCTGGGCAGAAGGGCGCAGTAACACCTAGAGTGGCGAACACCTGTCCTGCTGTAGTAATGATGAAGTGAAGCGAACGGAATCAGTGGAAACAAAAACTGAAAGTCGGTTATGGCGGCTCATATGCACACCTGCCTGAAAGCGTCTATATTCTGATTTCCACCGAGAATGCCGTCAGTGGTCGCTATGGTCGTGTGACATCATACTCCTCCCTATTTCTGAAATATCGAGCAAGCAAATATATTGGGAAGAAGAAGAAGAAGATGCGGCGAAACGACCCGACGGTGAAGAAATAAACGATGTCGGCAGTGCACGCTTTGAAGGACCAACCACCATATCTGTATATCTTATTCCCTTCACTGTATAGTAAATAATTTTCATTATGGCTGTAACATTTTGGTGGAGGTGGACACCATCCCCCTACGTCTGCGCTGCCCACGCTGGACCTCTGAAGCCGCCAGCTTCCTCCCCAGGAAGCCGAAATCTCTACCGGAGTCACCCACCCGATCGAGCAGCTCCCCGACCACCGGACATCACTACCGACACCTCGTCGGTAGTGATATCCTTCACAGCTCATCAGTTTCTGGCCTATTGAAAGACAGCTTACCGCGGTTAAATTGAGCTTCTAAAGAAAACGCATTCAGTGCGCGATTGGTTCTATTCCGGGGATCGGTGGCCGAGTGGTCTAGCGCACACCAGCTCGAAGCACGTGGAGCGAAAGCTTGCGCAGCAGAACCCAGGGTGCCTGGGTTCAATCCCTACCCTTGCCCATTACGATCAGAATGAGCATCGTACAGTCGTCCGTTTGTGCATCACCACTGCGTCGTGCACGTTAACGACCCCAGTCTGGCGGTTGTACTGGACTGTTAAATTGGTCATCTACAGCTTGGAGACAAGTCGCCCGTTGAGGCAGACTAAGTTCTAGGCTGTATAAACATACACACACCCCAAATTTCCTTTTTTTTTTTGGTTCTAATGCCTCAGCTGCTATTCAACCGGCTGGGTGTCCCTTCGCCTCGCAACGTCATCTGCACAGTCGCAGAGCAACCAAGGAAGCTGCCGAGAACGCAGCAGTGGCGACACTTTTCGAAGAGACCACCAGGGAGCTCCTTCGTAGGTAAGTGATAAAAATCCACTTCTCAAAATGGAGCTTGAAGTGTTCATAACACCAACACATAAAGATGCTTAAAAAGTTCACAAAGCAACTTGATCTGGTTGCTTGCTTTGCAACAAATTGGACACCGCGAAAACATGCGCTTCTACAATCCCACACAGACGCTTACAGATCTTCATCACCTATTCTATAAAATTGTGAGGTGGATCGTATTTCTTCCGCTCTAACAGCGGCCCTCCTACATGTAATCAAATGTTTTGCCTGCTGGGAAAGAATGTTCTTCTTACAGATGTTATGTTGCAACAATCTATATAGTTTAACCACGTTTAGAAAAGGATTACACATAAAGGTGCCCTGGAGGACACCATTCCCCTGTGTTTCTATCCATGCCGTTCTATAGTAACCGACAGGGTGAGAAAAGACAAAAGGGGTTTCAACTGTCCCGCCTCCAGCGCGTGGTTCTCAATTTTCCTAACGCTTCGGCTTCTCGTGAGTTTCGAGTGTGCACCCGCAGGTGAAGCACAACCGAAGGCAACAAGCGCGCCCTGGAGAACTAGAGTCCGAAAGAGTCCACCAGATGTTCTCATTCCGTCAGCGACTTGAGTTGGTCACCAATCCTCTCCTTTCCCCCTTCTTCACCCCGAACTAGCAAAGCAACCATTATGCCGGGGTCCCACTGCTGATACATAACCTAAGAAACACTCTCCAAACACGAGTACCCGCAATATCCGTGGTTCTAATGCCGCGTGCCCAAGTTTCTCCTTGAACTCATTGCACTGCGGCATTCGAAACACGAATCTCGCGGTGACTCGGTTTCTAATCTGCTTGCTGAGTAGACTGTCTTTTGTATGACGTGCAGTAGCATGACCCTGGCTTTATGGCGCTTGAAAACAACTGCTCTTTAAACACACCTTTCACATAGTCATTTTGAATATTTCTTTCCCATGTTTCGACGACAGCGTGCAGAACGCCGGATTTGAGGCCAGAGCAGACGATGTCGATTTCCAGGCCATTAGCGTGGACGGGACTGCCTTGGCCGCCACGTGTCCGCAACCTAACGTCACGTGCGACCCCAAGCAAAGGTACAGGCAACCCGACGGGACCTGTAACAACCTGAGGAACCCTGGATGGGGCAGCGCTGGATCCTGCATGCAGAGACTGCTCCCTCCCGCCTACCAGGACGGTAAAACATATCTCGCAGCTTTTCTGAATTTGGTCCTTCACTTTTTGATGGGGGATCGGTAGCATGCTACGTCAATGCATTACACTTCGGAGCACGTATAGCGAAAGCTCGCGCTGCATACCCAGAAGTTCTGGGTGCAATCACCACCCTTGACTGTTTAGATTCGGATGAGCCCCGTACCGGGGTGCTGTCGCGTATGACCACTGCGTGATGCGCGTTAAAGACCCCAAGCTAATAGATGTACAGCACTGGCTAAGTTTCTCTTCTACGGTGGACTCGCCCACGGGGCTGATTAATTTTCCGCCGTCTAAACAAACACAAGACACAGTTCCTCATTATATCCTTTCCTTGCTAGATTACTTTCTTTGACGCAATCTAAGACAAATAAGTGTTTCACTCTGATTCTGCTTTTAGAGGTACACGCCCAATATACTCCTCATTGCCACAAGCGGTCATTTAGCTGGATTTACAAGAAATAAAAAAGTTACCTTGTAATAGCGCAAGTGGTAATTGAAGAGTGCAGGAGAGCATGGGACGGGGGGGGGGGGGGGGGGGCGATCATGCTTATTTTTAGGAGACATTGACGGGCGATAGAAAACGGGCGATCACTCCAACCTTTACCTGTTCTAGCGTACTTTCGCCATTAAACTGTTCATCAGAATACAACGGGTTGTTTGATGAAAAGTGCAGGTTCCTATTATTTCTGATGATACTAGTACTACTACTATTACTAATGCAACATATATTTTGAACCGTTATTCCTTTCCTGTTATTGCTTTCAGTGCGGAGCAGAGGTATCGTTAAAAACAAATTAATGAATTAGTTCTCTCAAAACCAGGTATCAGCGCGCCCAGAGTTGCCATAAGCGGAGGACCACTTCCCAATGCGAGACTCATCTCTTCCACGGTCCACTCGGACATGAGCAACCCGGCAATAAACTTCACGCACATGGTGATGCAGATAGGACAATTTATCGACCACGACTTTGCTTTGGCTCCTCTTATGCCGGACCCGGGAGAAATCGTCAACCTTGGAAGTGAGTTGTCTGACGGATTATAGAGTTGAATAAACACAAAATCTAATTATACATTGGGGTTCAAGTCTCTACAGAATGTTTAATGATGCTGGGTGGTGCCATGTACGCGTGCGTTATTTAAGAACGCGATCGATAAAAGTTTGCATTATACCAAAAAGGAGCACGACGTTCAGATTAGATTTATAACAGTTCTGATTTCTAAATTACTTCGAAATCTGATCTGTGGAGAGCTGAATTAAGTCACAAATCAAGGTTGAGCACCCGAAGGCAGATTGTCCGGCATCTCCTTGTGATAACATGCTTTATTATTTTAAAGTGATCGGACGCATTAAAGAAGAGGTTGTAAGTTGCTAAACTTTTCATTGCATCGGCCCGTGCATAGGTTTCCCTTCTGCCTAAACACATGTTTGCGCTTTTTCTCGCCATTAAACCAGCTATGAGTCTTGAGACATCATAATTGCACTCTACGCCGCACTCTCAACATATGGCTACATTTCGCCTCTCCGTAAGTGCAGACGTAGCCGACCCTCCGAGCTTAAGGGACCAACCAATCAGCCCTACAGTATGACTGTCTCAAGGATGACAGAATGCATACAAAAACGTATAGCTCCAATGAAACGAAGTATAGCTCCAAATGACATTTATAAAAATTACAGGTAATAGACTCTAAACGTACCATTGGCTGTTTAGCGCTCAGAAAATATATAAAAGCCTGTACAGATGCAACAGGGTGCTGTTAGTGATGTAGTACAAAAAACACACACACATTTACTGCAGATCCGAACAACGTCATCGACTGCTGCTCGCCGAGTACCAGAAATATGTCGGAATGCTTTTCCATCGACATTCCTTCTGGCGACCCCTTCTTTGCCCGTTTCAACCAGACGTGCATCAACATGCCACGGTCGGCGCCCTGCAGTCGCTGCAACCTCGGCAAGTTTTAGTAGGGTCTCATCGGGCTTTCTTAACTTTACCATGACCGATTTCAAACTGGACAGTCCCACCTACTCATTCACCTGTTGAAAATGCTCGTAAGGGTAATGCAGTAGGACAGATACTGTCAATAACAGCTTGAGACACGCCATGCGTAGCGAGTCGCTAGCCTATACACGAACTGAACTCTTTGACGTCACGGCGCGGTGGTGGCGCGTAGGTCGCACTTCCGGTCTGGGATGTGGGCAGAAGTCCCCATGTCAGACGTCTATTCCAGCGTTGTTTTGAAAGAAACTAGACAAAAACCTGCCTTCTCGTCAAAACGCCGTGACTGGGGCCGTAACGAAAGTCTTGAGAAAGGTTTAAAGGCCTGTTTTCACGTGCTCGCTTCGTCCGAGGATCTGTATATGTGCCGCGAAAACGGAAAAGCAGACGCCGTTGGACAACGATTGCTTGGGCGGGAAACACTTTAGGTTGAATTCACGGACACTTGTGGTCATCAGATTTATTTGTTTTGTTCCAACATGAACCCCAGAAAACCGTCAAGTTCTGCTGACCACTTATGGACTACGTTCAGTGCGTCTTCAAGCTCAAACGGCCGCCTGATCGTTCGAACTGTCGTCTGCTCTTTCAAACGTTTCTGCCTGTCGTCTCCTCTCTAAGACGACGCCGGCCCGTAGATCAAATGTTTGCCCGGTACTTGCGATAGGAAGTAAGTCCAGGACTCAAAATACTTAGATTTGAAGGCTGGTAAGCAGGCTCGATGTAAACAGGAGATACAAGAAGATGTTCATCATTGTTGCCAGTGGCCGTCACCGCCTTGTTATCCCAAACTCACTTTGTCCGATTCTGCTTGCGATTTTCAGTATCGACGTCAACCATCTAAGTTACGGTTCACGCTTTTGCAGCCCGAGCGGTTTCGCGACTGAAAATTGCGAGCGAAATCGTATCATGCGAATCAGGCTTCAGCGTACATACTGCGGCGTCCACGCGAAATGAATCGTCACATGTCACATTATTCACGCGAACTTTTGGGTGTAACGAGCCTCGGTAATTTCGCTGACGCCGCTCAAGTAGTCAGACATCGCCAGGAACACTTAGAATCAACAATTCGAACGCGAAAGGGGCAGGGGGACTCACACCGACGCCCAAAACATCGCATTCCAATGGTTTGTTTATGGCGACGGCGAGCTTCTTGCCCACACCCCCATCGCGCATGAGCGGCGCGCTGGCGTCTGCTAGGGGCGCTCCGGTTTGTTTGTGAACATGAGTTGGTGTATAATGATCGCTCGCCAGACATTGAGATTACCTTAATATCAGATAAGAACGGCAATGTACCAATCACAAAGCAAACTTCCTTGTTTTCCGGCGCGGTCGCCAACTCTCATAACCTGAATAAAAGTGAAATCATTTGAGATATGCGGCGACCTTTAATTTACATTCATGTTTTCATCACCTTCCTTCCACACGTGGCGTTACGTTTCACGCAAGCGTTGTGGGTTGTTTGAAATTCCCGTGCGAGGTCATGTGACTGTGACGTGATAAGCATATCGACCGATCACAATTTTTCCGTGTCACGCCACCGACAGCGACGCCGGCTTTTCTGCGACACGATCTCTTTCAAGCTCTCGTTTAGCATAATTGCAGGGTTAGCTCAAATTTAATGTACAGTTGGGGTAAGGACTCTTCAAAACGCGCTCACGTTGTCATCAGCTACTATTTATTTTACTGCAGACGTTCCGATTTGGTATTGTTTTTGTGAAGAATGACTCCTTCGAAATTTTTTTGGTTCCGTTTTGGCTCTGAAGTTAAGACTGTCAATATGTATGGTCCAGTTTAAATGGGGCGGTGTTGTGACAACCAGGTAGTTAGGTTGACGAATCGTCTTCATGACAAGAAATATCCGAGTAAAAGAGGACGTTGGCAAACAACTGAGCATTAACGTTATGCCCTATTATCTCCAGTGTTTCGCTTGTGAATTTCACAAAAATTAAGCTTGCCACGAGACATACCCCTGGGGAACACCCAAATATGCGCTTATGATATTTGAAAGTGATATATTTACGTATACGTCTACAACTTTTGTTGCATTTATCCAAATTACGACTTGTTATTTACTCATAAATAGTATACGAAAAATATTTATTGTAATATTTTAAATTAAATTCAATACATTTGAATTACTCACATTTTATTAATGGGTGTTGAAGGCAGGAAAAATAACCACTCCTTAAGAAGCCATATAAGGGTCGTTATTGTTGTTGATGCTTGGAGTCATCTGAAAGAAACCTTCCCACTTTCTTCACGTTCAGGATATAGGGATCAGCAAGATATATTGACCTCGTACCTGGACAATTCTCAGGTCTACGGCAGCAGTGCAGCGGACACCCAGAGGCTACGTTCACTAAGTAGAGGCAAGCACGGTTTTCCTAATAATGCCATCTTTGACTTGTTGTGGGAAAGCAGAGTACACTGGTGTGAGCGGGAAATCCAAGCTTTATGGCTGAATATCTTTTCCCTTTAAGTGTCTGCTAACGTTAATTTGGGAACGACCTACAGCAGCCTTGAGTCAGCGGACCCCTTTCAAGGCTCCGTTAAGCAGCAACCGTGTTCTTGATAAACACTGGCAAAGCACTCGTTTTTGCCGCGAGCTCAGCCGAGTTCACGTCGAAGGCTAACGCAGCAACAGTGCCCAATACGTGGTCGGAGTACGCATTCGAACAATGGCGTACACGAATATTTGGCACAGCTGCTATTAGATATGGCGTACACTTTAAAAAAAACTCGTTATATTTTGCGGATTTTTTTTTTCGACGCGGATGCATTTGTTTATGAAGAATTTAAAAAAAAAGTCACATGCCGTCTTGTTTTTTTTTTTAGTTCTGTAGTGATGCATTAATATATGTATCTTAAAGGAAGCGCGTTGCGTGCGGTATTGCCTTTACTTGTGAGCGTACATACATCAAAATTACCCATGACGATCAACGTAAACCTCTCGTATAGTTTCCAATTCACCTTCTGCTAAATGCGGGATTTCCGAATTTATTTAGGAATGCTGAAAAGTCAAAGGGTATCCGGACGAGAACTGCTACCCCGAAGTTTCCACCCAACCATGGATCGCTGCAGTGATCCCAGCAAAAATCAGTACTGCTTCAGGGCAGGTAAGCTCGCCTAGAAAAACACCTCCGATACATATAAATATATATATATATATATATATATATATATATATATATATATATATATATATATATATATATATATATATATATATATATATATATATATATATTATTAACCGAGTAGTCGATCTTTCGTGTAAGACCCCCCCCCCCCCCCCCAAGTTGGTCAAGTTCAGTGAACCAGACTAGTCCATGTTAAAATAGCATCATACGTGAAACTTCAGAATAGCAGCAAAGGGGTAAGAGTCCATAAATTGAGTTTGGTGGCTCTTGGCGACGAAAGCTATTAATTGTGCGGAAACTTGTGTGGGGACTAGAGGCCCTGTCACACTGGGGCAACGCGATGGCATCAGCAACACCACAGGTTGTTCAACACTCGGGCAACTTGTTGATTTCTCCACGTGTTGTCCTACAAACCTGCCACATCGCAGCAACAGCAACACAGCATGGACGACAACCAAAATGTTGCTTTGGTATGACAGCTTTCGGCAACAAAAACAGCAGCAACTTGTGTTGCACAACGTGTGTTGCCTTGACCTTTGGCTGAGCGAACTTCGGGCCAGCAACACTACAGCACACGTAGCTCTGGTGGCAGAGCTAGTTCCATCTCAATAACGTCTAATTGAAATAAAGGCTTAGCAAACGTTATTTAACAATAATAAAGGCTGACGTGCAGCTCAAATAATTTTATGAATGTTTTTACTGCGTAATTCCGGAAAGCGATTGTAGAAATCGTCACAGCTACGGTCGTGAATGTTCAGATTGGTGTTGAAATTAGAATCGCCTAGTGACCAGCTTACATTACTGCTAGTGAAATTAAATGGCTTGCATACTCACTCGCTGATGAAGTATAATAAAAATAATCAAGGAAAGCAAAGATTAAAAAATCGAAGCATTAAAACGACCACCCTTATCATGATTGTTGATGCTTAAAACTTTGAAACAGTCACTACTAAACACTTGATTTGTTCCCAAAATACCCAGGACGTTTTGCGGGAATGAAGCGGTCACATAGCAGGCGGTAGGCAAATAGACACCGTTGAAAAATATTTATTTCGCCGATTGTTATGAAGGGCGATCGTGTCGGTGTCGCCGTTTTTAGGCACTGTCAGTTCAGCTCAACTCCACGCTACGAATACGCCTTGGCGGTTTGCCGGTTCTAACTCAATTTTACAGTAGAAATATGAATTACATGAAAGAAAGAACCGGACAGAAGCACTTCATGCGGTGGTGTAAATCACGATCATATTTCAGCGATCTCACTTTCCTTGGTTAAGGCTTTCTGCACTGTCGGCGAATGAAGAGCATTTTGATAAAATAAAGGCTGGAAAACCCTCCCCGTGTCAAGCTTTTCTAATCTCAGCCACTGGTTGATGTCGTTCTGTGGTAATTTCTGACCCTTCGAACGCACCAGCCCTTTGTGGAGTCCCATTTCCAGTGACGCCGCATCGGACACAAACGAAGGTAAACAAGATGGCGGAGTGTTCCCCGTGTTGTCTTCGCCGTCAGCGCTGTGTGACCGAGTGGTCGGAAAACACATCGGCCAACACGGTTGCCGGGTGGCAGTGACATGTTGGCCGAGTATTGTTGCCGCGATGTGAGAGGGTTACCGGCAACACAAGTTCCTCGTGTTGCCAGATAGAGTTGTCCAACTGCTGCCTCAGTGTGACAGGGCCTTTACTCAATGTGGAAGCAGCCATGCTTTGGGCACATCATGACATTATGTTGTAATCCCCGGGCAAGCGGCACAAGTGACGTCACCTTGACGTCTCGATGGTTGATATGTTCAGCGAATTCACTGTATAAAGTATTGTGCAATAAAACATAATGATTTTGATTTCTGTAATCCGTGCGTTCCAGGAGACGAGAGGGCCAACGAACATCCTGGACTAACTTCCATCCATACAGTCTTCCTTCGGGAACATAACCGACTCGCCGGTCAAATCGGTCTTCTCCGCCCCTTTTACAACGATGAAAAGATCTTTCAAACGGCCAAGTAAGACGTTTCAACCACTTCACCCCACATCATCAAACGTCGTAAGGGATTCGAACGACTTTGAACTGAACCTGGCGTTCCAGATCATTTCGTACGCCAAGCTCCGTGCCTAATCATGCATTTTGTTGAGGGCGATGCGTTTTTTGTGATTAGCCAAACTCCTTACGCATAGTAGATTGGAAAAATTTCCTTTTTTTCATTATCATTCGGAGCCCTCAACGCCCAGGCATGTTTATCATAGTAAAACGTAGTCTGGCTTTGCGCTACTATTGACGACATGTGAGCACAAGGGTCGCCCGGGTTGGCTTTCCGCGGATGGAAAATGCTCGCTATGACGATTTTAGTGGACTCACTTCTGCTTTTATCAATTACGGAAATATCACAGTGTCACCTTTGCCGCTGTCGGTTTAAGCACGTGATCACAGCGAACTTTCATCCGTACATATGACACACACCATCCCACGTGACGTGGGAAACTTGTGATAAGTAGCCTGGATCAAAACTCTTAACATCAGGACGAGGCAAATCCCGGTCTTGACGTCAGGGATGAGAACAGTAAAAGGGTGTCACCGAAAAATCTGGGCGCTAATGTTGTACGTTTTTCACACTCATGAAACTACGCGATGGAAAAGGCGCTGCGAGGGTGTGCGTCTATTGCGATGTGCATACGCTCGTTGCTCCTCTCTCCACTCCACGCAGCAGTTTCATAACTTCCTAGTTGCCTCTAGGTTTTGCTGTTCGCATTTCATTCGTACCAGATAGTACATATATAAATACGGTCGCTGTACCTTTCGATTAACCACTGCTTGTACCAAATAGAATAATAATAATAAAAAAAAACAGATGCAAGCGCAAACAAACCTTCTGCTTAGGCATAACCGTGTCTAGGAGGCCGGTCTCCTCACAGCAGTCAACGGACGAAGGATACTAAATAAAGATATTAAAAAAAAAAAAAAAAACATTCGCGAACATAAAAGCAATAACATCGACACTGCTGCAAAAGAGAAAGGTGACCAAAGAGGCTACAATTATTCCAGCTCTCCCACAGCAGTTTCCATAAATAACTTACAAAGTAACATCGAAAAAATTCGGGGAAAAATTAACATCCTTAAAATTAATAAATTAAGACACAAACAAAATTTGATATAGATATATAACAAAACTTCTAGCCAGGCATATACTTTTTTTTTTCGGACATGGCACAATTAGTTGGCGTTAGGAATTCCCAGTAATACCATCTTTTCTCGGTGCGTGCCCCTTTTTCAACCTCCAGGAGGATCGTGGAGGCGACCTTTCAGCACATCGTGTATTCCGAGTGGTTGCCCGTGATCATGGGACCAGCCGAAATGGCACGCTACCAACTCGTTCTTCTCAGGACCGGCTTCACCAGGTACAACGACAGCGTGGAAGCCACGATGATGAACGAGTTTGCGGCGGCAGCGTTTCGTCTTGGTCACACGCTCATCGACGGCTCTTTCAATATGTACGTTGGAGAACTTGTTTTGAACATAGAGGTGTAACATTTTTGGTAGCAGTGAAGTGCCTTGCAAAGGCGTGTCCTTCGTGTGCTTGACTTATCCCAAGTAGAGCAATTTTTTCTTGTTTTTTGGGGGCCAAAATACTTTTTTCTTGAGTAGCGATTTTTGTCCCTGAAAGTAAAAGTATAAACCAAACTCTATACTTTTTGACCAGAGACTCGGTATATTTTGGCCCTTAATTGCCAAAGAGATCCCGGCGTTAACGACTAGACACACTACCGACAGTCATACAAAAAGGCCGTCTGGAGAAACTGTCTAAGACTTGTATCTTTTTTGAATGACGACCTTCTGACGTCGTTGGTGATAAAATCTGTCCGGAAATTATGTTCGAAGCATAGCTAAGTTTGAAAGGAACGTGCTTCGAATATGAGTCCGGCGTGTCTACATCTCTGCAGCCAACGCGGTGTTTTTTTTATGATGTATGCTCAGTGTGCTTGCGGCTGTAAGCTTCACTGCCTGAATGTTCGGATCTCACCTGTCCTCTTTGTGCCTCAGCTCATTGGGAAATGTCCGAATAAGCCTTTGATTTTCAATAGTTTGTTGTGCACGCGGTAATTCTGGATCTAAATGGCTGAAGAAGTGCCAGAATTGTTCTTATATGCTGATTCCTTGGCTGATACCTGGCATCTTTGGTAAAATTTTGGCACTTTGGCAATTATGTGACGGACCAGATAAAAAAGCCAAACAAAAATACTTTGGCGTTAACTATATGCAATGCAGCAAACCCTTAGTAAGCCAAAATTGGGCCCCTGGGAATGGCAAACGTCAAGCGCTGACCAAACTAGACCATCAAATGACGTAAAACGACTCATCACGGCCATATTGCGTACGCCTGTCCGCTTTGGCCCGTTTTCTTTTTTTCTTTCGTTTTTTTTTTTCGCCGTGTTCAAGGTTTCTTTTGTATCCTGCTCTTTGCGGAAGCCTGGAGCATGCACATCACGTGGGTCCGGACAGCCACTCACATGCTTTGTTGGCTTTCAGTGGAAAACTCTTCTGTTTATGATGTCTGAGCTTGTAAAAAACGGGAAAGGGAAGAATAGAAAGGCGAGAAGCCGAAGCCTCGTATCGCGAGCCGAATTCGAAAGGGCGGACCTTTTCGGTCTTCCTCCCGTGAGGACTGAGGCCACGGACCGCGGAACAACAATTGGGAAGGGGCACCACTGGCAGGTCGCGTGTGACGTCTGACGAGTATCGATATCATAGAAAAGCAGAGGAGGTTAGAAGGAAACCGGTAGGACGGACGGCACCATTCACTCCATATGGCAGTGAAATGTCGCTTCACGCCATCTGAAGTGGCCTGTTTTGAGGAGCCCTACAGGCAGCTAAAGGCCTGTCCGAACAATACACTTCAATGCGCGTAAAGCGACACTTTACCGCCAAATGAAGTGAAAGTTGTTGTCCAGCATTCCGCTTTCCTTCTCGCCGCCTCGGCGTTTTTTGACGTTCGTGCCCCTCAAGCTTGACGTCACGCTCGACCTGCCAATGGTGTGCTTGTCCATCTGTTCTGTTCCGGATGCAGGCAGCCGTTTCCATCGGAGGAAGGTCTGAAAGCTCCGGCTGTTTGGGTCCGGTCCGCGCGAAGCATCTTCGCCTCCTTACTCTCGTATCCTTCCCTTTTCCGTTTCGGGAGGCTCAGACTTGAACAGCAGCGGAGGCCTTGACTAATAGCCAACTAGGCCTGTGAGAGACTGTTCGAACCTGATGGGCACGCTAACTGCTTCCGTCAAAAACAGAAAAGGAAAAAAGAGCTTTCCTCCGGATAAAAAGGAAAACACCGCTCCAAAGCGGAATGACGTACGCTACCTTGAGGAGTTGTGTCGCGTCACGCCATTTGAAGTGTCCAAGTTGGATAGACCTTGAGGCGTTTCTTCGGTGTGTTGTTTGGGAAGTATTTACTTCATTCAGAGAAGCCTATACCGTTTTAATTGGGGATTATGGGAGAACGAAAACATATTTTCCCGTAGAAAATTGTTCCAAGGTAAATTGAGATAGAAATACTTGACATAAATATTGCATTTTGCTATGGCAAGGTGCAGAGTTACGAGTAGCCATTTTGTTGACAAACAACAATTTGTTGACAAACTACAACAAACTCACTATGTTTCACTCATGTTTATTTGATCTGTGTCTATATTGAATTAATTATTGTTTGTTCGTTTTTCACGTGATTTTATCAAACCTAAGTGGTACAAAAACGACACCTCTACTTCAATTTTCACTGTGAATTTTTTCGAGATTAGGTCTTCTTGGCGTGTACCACCTGCCCCAGCCTCCAGGAGTCGTACATATGTATCGCAAAATTGCAGCGCACCTTAATGTACGCGCTCGGAGAGTAGGAAATTGGTTAAAGCATAGTTGCGGTCAAACACCTATTTTAGCGTATCGTTCATCAGTAGATATAAAACTCTATATCTCCAGAGAAATTATTACCTATATATTTTCATTCCAGGCCTAACTTCTTTGGCGGCGGTAATGCCACGTTGGACCTCAAAGAAAACTTTTTCTTTCCCTTCGAGTTTTACAACGGACAACTCGACCCCCTTCTGCGTGGCCTCGTTCAGCAGCCAGCGCAGACTTTCGATAAGTAAGGTTCAAGTAAATCAGTTCTCAAGTTTTCGGCAACCCTCAATTTACCCATTACTCCAGGTATATTTGTCTGGAACCCAATAGACCTTTGGCCAAATTACCCAGGATTCAAGGGGCTTGTTACGAGTGTAGTTACACGCGATGCACATGTTCCCGCCTGCAGCGTTAACTGTTACAAAGCAAAAATCTAAAACAAAAGGCATAATGCACGCGCGGTCGTGAACGCCATATTTTGGTTATTTAGTTCTCATATTTTATACGCGAAAGGCGAGCGCGTGCGACTCGTAGACTTACATTCCCGGCATTCTTGTTGGTGGTTGGGTAATAGACGTATTGCAAAATTAGTCGTGCATCAAGGAGTATGCCGGAAATGAATGTACACGCGCAACACGCGCTCGTCTTTCTTGTGCAAGAAATTCGGGATAAATAAACATAATAAAGCGTTGACAAACACGCGTGAAAGAGGCCATTTGCTTTATGTATTTTCCTTAGAACAGTTACTGCTGCATACGAGAGCACTTGCAGCGTGTGTAGCTACACTGGAATCATGCTCCTTGGTGCTCGGGAGGGGGGGATCGGTGGCCGAGTGGGCTAGCGCACACCAGCTCGGAGCACGTGGAGCGAAAGCTCGCGCTGCAGAACCCAGAATACTGGGCTCAATCCCCACCTCTGCCCGTTTTGATCTGGATGAGCATCGTACAGGCGTACGGTCGTGTATCGCTACTGCGTGATGCACGTTAAAGACCCCGGGCTAGCTGTTGTGCTGCACTGGCTAAATTGCTCATCTACAGCTGGGAGACTCGTCCTCCGTCAAGGAAGACGAAGTTTAGGCTGTATAAACATAAAACAACCCCCCAATCTATTGGTGCTCGGGTAATTTAGCGAAAGGTATATAGACTTATTTCTATATTACCCAAGCATCAAGGAGAATTCAGGGATTGGTGCGCCACACGCGCACGCCTTCCCCGTATAAAATATTCGAAATGAATAATCAAAAGAGAGAGTTGACGAGCGCGCGTGCAAGACGCCTTTTGTTTTAGGTATTTTCCTTAAAATAATTACTGCTGCATACGACAGCACGTCGAGCGTGTGGAGCTACACTCGCAGCATGCTCCTTGGTGCTCGGGTGATTTAGCGGAAGGTCTATAGACGCTTTCAGCGCGCGCCAAATTAAGCCGCCATAGCCGACCTTCTCTTGTCTTACTGAGATGCCGAGCCATCGAAGCGGGCGTTGACGAGTCTCCAAAAGGGCCTATGCTGGGGAGAAGGACACGGTAGACTCTAAAATGGCAATGACCTGTCCTGCAGTGATAATGATGAAGTGGAGCGAACGCAATAAGAGGAAACAGAAACTGAAGGTCGGCTATGGCGGCGCCCATGCGCCGCTGCCTGAAAGCGTCTATAGACCAATTGCTATGTTACCCAAGCATCAAGGAGAATACAGGGATTGGTGTTCCACGCGCCGCACGTGCTAGCGTCAGCAGTAGCAACTTTTCTAGAGGAAATACCTAAAACCAAAGGCATCTTGAACGCGCGTTCGTCAGCTCCTTTTTTTGGTTATTTGCTTCGAATCTTTTATACAAGGAAGGCGTGCGCGTGTGGCGCGTGGAACACCGATCCCTGGATTCTCCTTGATGCTTGGGTAATATAGCAATAGGTCTATTCAGGGATAGGGTTATTTCTTTGATGTTATGGGCAAGCCAAGTGCTCACAGAGCGTAGGTTAAAATGCGCTGAACTATTTGTCCTAAAGATATAACATATTTGGCTGAACATACATATGCTGCCAATAATACGAATTTCTGAACTGCCCTAGTCCCCTCGGGTGTCCCGCAGAACTCAGTGCTTGGCCCATTATACTTTCTTATTTACATAAATGACTTGGTGCAAAACTTGTCTTCTTCTATTTGCCATTTTGCTAAAGATTTCTTAATATACCGGAAGATGACCGACATATCTGACACTATTCTTCTACAATCTGACCTTAATCGTGTATCACAGTGGTGTAACCAGTGCCTAATGGAACTATACACTGACAAATGCAAATCGATGAGAGTGTCACGTGGTCAATCGGTGTGTCATACTTATCATCTTAACATCAATTCTTTCACTTCAGTGTCGGTATACAAGTATCTTGGTGTTCATATAACTTATAACCTTTGTTGGACGATTCATATTGAATACATATTTAACAGTGCTATCCGTATGTTAGGATACTTCTAAATGAATTTCTCGCTCCATCTTCATTAAAACTAACCATGTACAAAACCCTAATCTGTCTAAAGTTACAATATGCTGCTTCTGTGTGGGACCCCACTCACTCGCCACTAACTGCTCTTATTGAATCGATTCAAAACCGCTCAGCTCGTTTTATATTGACAAACTATCACCTCACTGCCAGCGTTACTAAAACGAAAAGTACTTTACGTCTTCCGTTACTAATTCACCGCAGAAAAACCTCTCGTGTGTGTCTTTTTATAAAATATATCACTCAAATGTTAACCTTCGTCATAAACTAATTACTCCATCAGTCTACATATCTGCTTGCATTGCTCATAGCCATAAGGTTGGTATTCCAAACCTGGAAACTTCATTATTTGAATATTTTTTACGCCACAAAAATCTATACACTGGAACCACCTTCCCACCTCGATGGCCAACATCACTGATATTGATTTTTTTTCAATGCTATCACTAATATGTGCACTTTATAGTCAATATTTCACAGCTCTATCTTCTCTCCAATGTACTTTCTCTACACTCCCCAAAAAGGCTGTCGTAACATTTTCTAAACAAATGTAACATATCGCTTCTTACATTACGGCATTTCGTTGATTAAAGAACTTTGGAAATAAAAGTCGCAGGAAACGTTTGTTCTTTCTGAAAAGAACTAGGGTACCTATGGGAGCATAAGGGGATCGATGTATGAGTGGGCTAGCGCACACCATCAAGGAGCACGCTCGGCGAAAGCTCGCCATGCAGAATTCAGAGATCCTGGGCTCAATCCTGGTCCCTGCCCGTTTCGATCTGGATGAGCATCATACCGGCGTGCGGTCATGTATCACTACTGCGTGGTGCACGTTAAAGACCCCACGTTAGCCGTTGTACTACACTGGCTAAATTTGTTATCTATTCAGCCAAGGCACCACACGTCCATTGGGGCTGACTAACTTCCGGTTGTAGGAACATAGGCACAAAATAATTTATGGAAGCGTCACTCAGAGACGATAATGCGGGATTGTTGGTACTCCACGAATGAAAAAAAAAACGTAGTTCCGACAGGCCAAAAATACAATGCAAATTTAATTACATTTTTGTTTGTTGTATTTACACGTTAATTTTCATACACGCCAAGAAGACTTGGGCATTTGACAATGCAGCAGCGGTACCGGGGAAAAAAGTTATATAACTATACTCGGGGAAATCTTTCTTGGCAACGCAGTCAAGGGTACGGGCACACGTGCCCTTTCCTTTTTGAGCACCGAATAAAGCTATACCTTCGGCGCTCTCCTACTTTGAACAGAAATTCCAAGAAAGCATGTCCCCGACTGTAGAACACACTTTGGACGCTCAACAAAATAAACCAATTGGAGAATGATTCCCCGAGACTAACTGTTTCCGCGCGTTTTTCTCACGCCCGACCATTGAAGGTTTGTGACAAATGCCGTGACGGACCACCTGTACCGGCTGCGCAACGACTCGTTCGGTCTGGATTTGATATCCCTCAATATCCAAAGAGCCCGGGAGCACGGAGTACGGGCCTACGTGGACTACGTCAACCTCTGCACGGGCGTCAACATCACGTCCTTCGACGATCTGCTCCAAAACATTCCCAGCAGCATTGTGGATCAGTACAGGGCCCTCTACGCGTGAGTAGACATCAAAGGGTTCTTTCCGTACGGCATTTGAGACAGGCTGAATGAACTATCCCGTTTTCAGCCTGCTCTGTTTTCGGACGCCGCTTCACTCTTTCAGCTTAAAGTCGTTCTCACATTGCTAATACGTTATAAAATTCCAGTCTGCAGATGCTGTCGCAGGCGTGAATATTTCTTGTACCACGGACCCGTCTCAACATGATCATAAGTTTGTCATAATGTCTGCAGCGCAGCCCGAGTCCCTCGTACGATGTGTCAGCATGACGGCTGCTCTACCCCCCCCCCCCCCCCCCCCGTCATACAAAAGTACTGATACTGTCATCAGTGTTCACCATGAACAAGGTTTGGAGACGCTTGCAGCTGCTTGCAGATCTCGTTCGGTACGGTCGACTTCTTGTCGCATCAGTAATGTCGCAAAAGCGGGCCTTAATCGAGGAGTTGTCACGTGACCCAATAGAGAAGTCACGTGACTCAAATCGAGAAGTTCAACCCACTTTCGAATCCAGGCACACTACAGAACACATTGGAACAATGGTGCCGTCCGTTGGGTAGCCGTGGAACACAATCCCGTCTGCGTATGAGTGAACTAGACGTCTTACGCTATTTGCGAGATCGTATATCTACACACTATTTGTGAGAAATGGTCATGTGCAAGGATATTTCGAGCACATGGAGAAACATTGATTGTTAAAATATACGAGTAGATGTGATATGCTCTAGAGCTGCTCGATGGATGGTGCCAATGTGCGTACTCGTCGTAAGAGGTCACCCGCAGTTGGAACACAGTCGTACACACTCCAATCTGTGAACCGGCCTTTCCTCCGAACTGCAGTAGACGGTACGCGTCGTCAAAACCAGGTTCGTACCGTGTGAAGGTCACGTGATACTTACAATGTACTGTATAGGCTGGGGGCGCTCGTGGCGTCTGTTGTAGACCATCGCTGCATCCATAGTATGCAGACCGCAAGTTCGACCGCTTAGATGCTTAACGAGCGCGTTGGTAATGGCAGCAGCAGCAGGAAAGAATTAAACACCCAATGGACGCGAAACAGAGACGAGAACACTCTTTCATGCTCGACTGTGTTTCTCGTCCGTTGCATGTTGATTCTTTCCTGCTGTAGCTCGTCTGCTTCTTTTGCAAGGAATACGGGGACGTCCGAACGTCGAGCCCTGGTTGACTCCGATTAATGAATCGTGATAAGACTTCGAAGCAAACTGCCCTGAGGTCTACCCACTTTCTTCCAATCAGAGCCAATGAGAGCTCGGCGTTCTGAAGTCACCAGAACCCCTGCAAAACCAGCAGACGAACTTGCATCCGTATAGCATCTATGTTTCTTTTTTCTAAAGTGCCGTTTGATTAATTTTCAGCGACGTTCGGGACATCGACCTTTTTTCGGCGGGCATCTCGGAGAGGTCCGTGCCCGGCGGGGTTGTCGGTCCGACGTTTGCCTGCATCCTCGGCCACATGTTCCAGAGACTCAGATTCGGAGACCGCTTTTGGTTTGAGCACAAAGATCAGGCTGGATCGTTTACTTCTGGTAACTATACATTTGTTTTGTCTTTTTATTTTATTAGCGCCGCAATTTGTTTACGAGCGCCCTCTTAGGGATCCCCTGCGCGACGTCACTAACAGAATTTGCATAGCCATGACGTCACGAGTTGTAATATACCTATATGACTAAATTGCGCAAGCGTCAAAGAAGCATACAGGAAACGTAGTTACATGTGCTGCGCTTGCTCGTCTTATGTGTATAAAGCACCTAATTATAAAACATAACAAGAGACGTTTTCGGACGCACGTGCGAACTGCCTCTTGTTTTAGATTTTTCCTTTAAAAAAATGCTACTGCCAACGCCAGCCCGCGCAGCGCGTGTAACTACGTTCCCTGCACGCTTTTTGATGCTAGGGTAATTTAGCACAATTTCTATCCAGGTCCCTTGTCATCAATAGGTTGATCTCACCAGCCAGTTTGACTACGCCACCGCTGCTGCAATGCATGAAGGGAACTTTAGTCTTTCTGCGTGTGCGACAACACCGTTGTAGCTCTTCGCGAGTGGAGCACGAGACGGCATGAGCCGACTCGTGCACAGCAGCTTGCCTCCTTTGAACTAAAGTTATGGCGGCATCACCCATGCGCCGAACGCTTAGTGAGATCGGTCTATTGCGAGCGACATGTTTCATTTCGTGAGATAAAAGCATGGTGATAACTTAGAGCCCCAGTCTCGCTGCCAATATTGTCTTCGAACAACGTCTGAGTCGTTTATTCTTCCTCGTATAACGGACACATGGGCCATGCAAAAATTCGCTGCAGAGATGTTCGAAGCGTACAGATGTATGAAGCAAGCATAGTTCGAAAATGCTTGAGGCGGTTCCGCGGGTACTTTTTTCATCATGTCTACATGCAGAAAACACTGTCTTTTTTTTACAACGTATACTCGAACACAGCGACTGCGACTTTAAATCAAGGCGGTGAACGTTTGAAGTCTGACATTAGTCGCATTTTCGTCAATATTAAAAAAAAGCAGTTCCTTTTGAGACATCGTACTGTGTGTTTTTGATCAATTGTGGAGAGCCAACCAGAGCTACGCTTTTGGTCCCGCACGTCGCTAATACCAGCCATCTAAAGGAAACAAGCAAGAAGATGACCGAAAGTGGTTTCGATTGAAGTGTTGATTGACTGTAGAAAATAGTTTAGTTGCGTTGTGCCAGCTGAGGTTGTAGAACGGAGACGTTCGCGGCCGGAGGAAGGATTCGTTGAAAACGCGCAAGGAACGGCTCTCCGTGCTTTGTGTAGTCTGTGATTCTTACTCACGTCTTCGCGATTGGCACTTGTAAATCTTCAAACTATTCGCGTCTTCTCAACCGGATGGTTTGTTATTTCGGTCAAATTTCAAGCTATCTCAAAAGCACCTCCAACGAAGAGAAGTTATAATAGTAATTCGGGATTTATTTAACATATTTACGAACCAGACTCATAGAGTGTCGTCTACTTGATTGCCCGTATGTAACGCAAATGCTAAAATAGTTTGAAGCGCGTCGCTCGTCGATTTATGTAAGTTTGAATTATAAAGCTGCTGTACCTTGTATGGAGGTGTTGAAAGTGAATCATTGATGCAGATCTTCGTTGACGACAGCCGCCGAGTCCGCGTACTCAATGCATCGGGGCTCCTGCTTTGACCTTGGTGTAAACAATGGCGTTCTCAATACAATTTGGAGTCGTCCTCGCTTTTTCCACTCTCCACATACCCACATGTCCTCACGCAAACACACATCTGGCACTGTCTATAATCTCTAAAAAAAACTACAATGAGTTTTAAGAGCATTTGACACTCCTCCGACATGGTCGGAATATTATTCAAGGTAAAACCAGCCTATAGCTACAAATACGTATTTTTTAGGAGACCTATCACGTAAATTGACTTTCGAGTACCGTTTTTTTCGGTGTATAGAGCGGGGACTATTCACGTTTAACGCTTCGGTATTTTCCGTTGCGTGGAATATGTCTAAGTGCGAACTATGCAAGGATACTTTTTTATATCGTTCTTGATGATGAGACGTGACAAATTATGTGAATGACAGAGTAACTTAATGAAGGTCGATGTATAAAACAAGCTTATTTGTGAGTATATGAAGCAGTCATTTGTCAAGGTATGATAATGTTTTGCATGTGGCCAAAGCACAAGGTGCGGAATATTCACTTGGCGCCGGCTATTGGCGACGTGAGTGATCGAAAGCGTCGCTGTGATCGGTCTTCCACGGTAGGCCGAATGGTGACTATGACGTCAGCAAAGGATTTCCCATCGGCTGAAATAAAAGCAATGGAAGAACTTCAATTTTGACGGTGTTGGCAGTGTTGGTTTGAGACTGCTATGATTTCAAGCTTCCACCATGCTCTTTACAAACACCTTCAAAATGGCCGTTCACAAGGTAATGACGCCACGAAAGGTAACCATAGGAGGGCGCCACCAAAACATCTCGCCGCTAATAGTCATATTAATTACGAGAAGTTTCCTTACGTTTCTGTGTCCCCCCCCCCCCCCCCCCCCCCCGCCCCCCTCTTTGCAGGTCAGCTCGGGGAGATTCGTAAAACGTCGATGGCAAGGCTCATCTGCGACAATAGCGACAATATACGCTTCATACAACGAGACGTTTTTCGTCCCGCGGGACCAGGGTGAGTTACGAACACGGTGGAAAATGAAAGTGCCGTAACGAAGCCGACACGCCGTAGAGCAAGCGCGGCTAACGTTCGCTCCCATTCCCGACAAAGGCCGCGAGATGGGACTGTGTGTCGAAAGGGGTGTCCAAACAGGACACTACAAAACGCACGACTCCGACAAATCGTAAAACTTGAAGCGGGCGCGTCCGCTTCAATTTTCACGATTTGTCGGAGTCGTGCATTTTGTAGAGTCCTGTTTGGACACCCCTTCATGTACATCGGGGGCCAACCGGTTCACTTGAGGGATTGCCTTTTTTCGCGCACCTGGTTACAAGGCCGAGCGGCGCATCCCCGGGCTTACGCTAAGGCCCATAAGCCATAGTGCCTCCCGCCGGAAGACGCGCGAAGTTCGAGCTAACTTTTGCTGCCTTGGCTGACTTTGAACACCTCTTTCTTCGTGCACCGTGGTTTCAAAAACAAACATCAAATAAAATATCACACAAAAATTGAGATCGCCAGTGACAAACGGCCGTGTAGCTTATGATCGAACTAGAAGGGCGAGAGAGTTTTTGATGTTTTGTTTTTTGTCTAAATGCATGAACGCCTTCTTTTGGTAAACAGCAAAAAAAAAAAAAAAGAAATACACTAGTTTCACTTACAAAATACATTTACATTACATTCGCCTAATATTGTGATATAAGCACGAAAAATATCAGCCAACGTTTCATTTGACTTAATTTAGTCATTCATATTGCCACCTTCAACTTCAGTTTTACCCGCGCTGTACACCAAATCACGTTTACACGACCATAAAACTAGCGAGAAAGTGTGTTTAAAAATAAATTCAATAACTGTAAGAAAAAAAATTAAATCACAACAACTCCGTTACTGAACTGACCTTAATCACGACTAGGGAGCCAAAGGATTACTCCCTTCGCACCACCCTAAAGGCTCGCTTATTTACATTGCAGAAACCCGACTACGACCTGCCTGACCATTCCGAGCATCAACATTTTCCGCTTTCTATGAGAACTCTGCACAATGAACAGGCGCTTGAGAAAAAACCTGTGACACTTTAAAGCATATATGAAGACGTCGTATTGCTCCTCTTGGTGCTTGCTTGTACTTCCTTTTGCTTACATTCAAATAAATATTTTTGTGGATTGGCGGGCTGGATTTATTTAAAACGAACACTCACCAATTGACATTTTTGCTTGGCCAACATTTGAGGACCTTCGCCTGTCTCAAAATTAAAAAGAACGCGTGGAACATCATGTGACGTAACGCAAATGGAGAGCGTCCACTGGTGCCTACACGTCGACGAAGTTTTCTCTCACGGGCGGGTTTACACCGTCTAGTTGCTCCGGCGTATACATCGGCCGCCCCATCCTTGCGCGAAAGGCTTAAAGCGGAATCAAACGCTCGTTAATGAGATCTGATTGAGGCAGACCCTCTGGCATGGGTGGGTATGCGAACCTGCAACGCATGGCCAGATTTGGGGTCTTGCGAGCAAGAACACTCCGAGAACGAACACCTTGAATGCAGTTGGCCGGGGCGCGACGACTCAAGAACCTCGAGGCAGGCTGCAGGGAAAAACGTCTCAAACCACAACCTATCACACATAGATGAGTTCCTTCTCAAAGGCACTGAAAGATAGTTGTCATTGAAATGTTTTATTTGTTTTATTTACGTAAAAATAAAATGACCCGCTCTCTCGCTTGACTGTAGACGAACACTTCACTAAGATGGTGGTGTGGACATAAAGACTAGAAAAAAGGTCAAAGAGAACGATACCAAAAGGAAAAGAAAGTAGATTTATCAAGGAAGGCCCCAAGCAACCAGACGAAAATACGTTTCCAGTGATTCGGTGTCTGTACGAGGTGAGGGCTTGTGCAGACTGGGGAACTCGTAGGCCGGTAGTTCGGTGGAGGTCAAGTTGGGTGTGCGGTCCTTTGTCGAGTGCATAGAGTGCTCCCGGATGATGTGAGCGCATGTCGCCGGTACTCTGCGCTGGGGCACAGCGGGTTCGGGCACACCTGAGACGGGGAACTAGGTCATAAAAACCTGGCCCTGGAGTTTCCGTAGGCCTATATATCCCATCTAGTCTGACTAAGCGGGCTGCGAACATTCATCCGAAGGGAGAAAGGGAAGCGTGTCAAGCTTTCCTGAGAAGTCGTGACGGCTCGCAGTGTTCCGAGAGGTCTATGGGAACCTCGGGTGTGTTGGGCTCAGAGGGCCTGACGCAGCCTTGTTAGGCTTCAAAGCTACGTAATAAATCCTTGGCGGCTGTGCTCGTCTCGTTACTCGGTACTTCTGCGTGGCCAGGATTTCACGTCACTGTTATTTTCCCCCCACGGCAGCGGAATGCTTTGCATCTGGATCGGAGGTCCCGAACTGTCCCGTTGTGGCGCCCCCGTGGCATTGCGTGTGGTAGGGTCTGAAGTTGAGCCCACCCTCACCTGGAATTGACAGTCGTGCAGACATGACTTAATCATATTTAAAATGGTACTGGTGAAGCAGAGGCGTTCAGCAGCGCGGATGACAGTGTAGTGAGGAAGCGAAAGCTAGAAAGAGCATGTGGCGCCCTCTCCCGTCGTCGAAGCCAACTGCGCATACCGTCATAAGCTCCCTTCGTTTACACCATCACGAGTCTCGCCCAGTGCCGCAAGCTCAAAACAGCTGTCGCTGTGAAAAGGGCAGGCCAATATTACGGAGGTTATTTTTTTTGTATACTTTCGCTAAATTGGGTAAAAATAGTGCTGAAACATCGTTTAATATTCGTAAGATGTATAGATACATATTCCAGCTACTTTTCCACTTAAGCGCCGCAGAGATATAGGCGTCCTGCGCTGAAGCTTTGAAACAAACTGTGGCGCCCTTATTTTGGGTATTTGAAGCTCACCTGATTGGGCCTCGGACTACTTATGGCACGTTGGCTGAGCTTCTTTCTTTCTGTGTAATGCTAAAGATCGTAAAAACACCTTTGGACGTTCTAAATTGGCTTGATTAAACACCGCAATGCGATCGAAAGTTCCAAATTTATGCCACCACCGCTAAAGCATGCGTCTCTTATCTCTGGGTGGTGACGTCAGAACATTAAGAGTCCTGACGCTTCTCTTTTTGTTTCCTTTTTTTTTTACCTTGGAACGCGTGAAATAGCGTCTCTTGTCTGCCGCTTTTAGCGTCTACGAGCTCTGACCTGTGCTTCAACGGCGTTGGAATTTCGGTTGCTTCTTTGTATTTTCCTGGTGATCTCGCGTTCCTCACCAGAGCAGGCACGCTTCGACATGTGCGACAGCCTGAGACAATCGATTAAGTCTGAACTACCCCAACACAAGTCATAACAAGTCCCTTTTCGCAACGCCCCCTGGGCAACGCAGGAGGCCTATAGGCAGTTATTATGAAGTAGCATAAGATTTTCAATAACCTCACCGAAGAAGGTCGCCTGTTCGTTTCTTAGTAGTGTAATATGGCGTGCTATAACAAACTATGTTTTTTATTCATGCTCGCATATCTTGCCTGCCCACACGCGTGAGCCGCAGTATCCTTTAAAAAATAAAATACCATCACGACTCCGTCCTTATCATTACTCACCGAAGACGTTCTTCACTGACCCCCATCATCAAGCACGTCTATTCGTCCTTCCCTAAGCTTCCTGAATTTTCCCCCACACACAATACGTCTGCGGCAAGTACCGGTCTGATTGCGCATGATGGAATTACTTAGAACCAGACATGTAAAAGTTACCCCAACAAGTAATCAAGTTAAGTTACTGAGCATTGGCCTCAAAAGTAATTTGAGTAGAATACAAATTAATCAGATGGAAAGTAATTGAGTACTAATTACCGTAAAAAGTAGCGAAATATTTTTGAAGTTACTTTTAGGTTTTTGTTAATGGTAACAAGAAAATACAAAGGTTTTGATCCGTTAGCGAAATTGTGGTAGCCAAATATGAATCGGCTCGTTTTTTCACCGAAATGCTTTAATAGCTGGTTCTGCTTCTGCGTCCCTATTTTTGTACTTTTTTTTTGTCAATGATGTGCTGCGAATGTGTTATTTCCACTTTAAGGTTTAGCACTGTCTGAGATTGATTTTTGCACAGTGTTGGCTATACTACAGTGTTGCGTAAAGTTCATCTAAAATGTACTTGAAATAAAATACAAAGCAAATGAGAGGTTATGTATGTCAAGTAAAGTGGTAAGTATACCGGGTGTAATGTACTTGAAGTAATATACTATAAATACAATATATTTCAAGGTAAAGTACAAGTAATTTTCACACAATCTTTCATGATGCACTTTCATTGCCTATGCACTGTTTTTTACTGGCATGCATTGCTCCAGGGGTAATCGGAGGTGCATTAGTTTTTTACGGAAATGGAAGCCATTATTGCTTGAAATCAAGACGCCACAAAGAAGTTGTTTTACTCTCGCTCACAAGCTATTGGACGCAATCAACTTATAAGGCACTTATTTCTGTCGGTCTTAGAGCCGCCACTACTTTACTCAGCGAAATGACCAGATGACGTCTCTAAACAGCGCGTTTTCGCACGACGATACGCCATTTTTGCTTTCAAAGTTGCAAATATATATTGAAGTCAGAAGTTTTACTTTCTTCGCAAAGTACCAGAAAACGGTACTTTAGTAAAGCACAAATGCATGCTCAAATAATGTACTTCAAATGAAGCACAAATTTTCTAATTAGTAGTACTCTAGTATTAAGTAGTTAGAGTACTTCTCAACAGTCCTTGTTTATTATTTTTATATATATAAATGTTGGGGGAATTACCGAGGTTTCTTGAACGATCTTCAAATCTTTAAAGATCTGCATGTTCTGAGTCTTGGGAGGAAAGGCAACGCAAAAAGTTCGCCTTTGCGGTGGACTTTAGCACGCGATTCTTCGAGTACAGCACAAACTACGTGAGCACCAGATGAGCTTCAGAGCGGGTACTGCATTTTGTTGCCTCCTTTTAGTGAGGATGCAGTGTGTGCACCTCCTGTAGTGGGCAGGAGTTTCTACGGCGCGGAGAAGAGGGGACCAGGCCTTTCTTCAAATGGGCCGATAGTCTTGAGCTTCTGGACAGAAAGAAACGCCAGACTTCGGCGCTAATCCCACAGTTACTCAGCATCTCTTGCGTCATGTCTCTTCGCTCCCCGCGCCTCGCAGTAGTGTTGTTGCGGTCGGGTGGCTCGTGAAAATTTTGGGGTTTCAGACTCTCCAAACCATTTTCTTACACCCCCCCCCCCCCCAGTTTCCTACTCTAAATGCTTCCCCAACTTTGCAAATATTAGCTGATCTTTTAATCTCTTGTCTATTTTTGTGCAGGAATGTTTGATGATAGGCAAAACAACCACTAAAATTTGAAAGTAATTTGTAATTTGAGTAGAAGTTATTCGTAAAAGTAATTAAAGTAAACTACTAATTACCGAAACGAAAATGTTTTTGAAAGTTACTAAACTAACCAGAAAAGTAGTTAGACTACAGTAACTTGAGTATAGTAGTTAAACTACGTACAAGTCTGCTTAGAACCCAGGCGGCAACTTTCTTTAGGGATGGTATTCAAATCCTTCTGACTAACTTAGTGCGCTGATAATGTAGAGAAGTAGATGGAATATGAACCTAGAAACATCGAAATTCCTATATACAAGACAGGCATTTTTTCCTAATTTATTTTTATACTATACCAACGCGGTCCCCTAAAAAGTACGCATTCACATTCTATCAAAGCTTGTTGTTTGGAGTCGCTTGGCTGCGAATAACTGTAGTCGAAATTTGCACTTGTCCTTGTCCACCCGTTCTTGTTTCTCATATGTGGTTACGCATACTGGTATACTCAGATTCACATTCTATTTGTATTACAACATATTTAAGCACATTTGTTCGTTTTTTGTACACAGTTCATCCAAAAAAGAAAACTCGTACGAAGTGATATTTTTAAATGGGAAAAGGATATACTGGACAGATGTGTACCACAAAGAGAGTCACGCCAACTCGTTACTGATTTCTAAACGTCAGTATACTGTTATTTTTTGTGTTTACAATAATGTTCAGTAAATTATTGTTCATGTTTACCTTTCGTGTAATTTCACCTCTAATTATAAAGTTATTATTATTCTGAGATACGCTAAATTAGTAAAACGCTTTAGCTGTTGTGTGCTAAGCGTATG